CTAGGCAATGAGAAGCCGTTGGACAATCCAAACAACCTTCAACATTTCCCTCGTCATTTTGGAAGATAAATGTTCATTTGGTCCTGTTTGAAAAAATAATTGTGCAATAACTTTTGACATTATGTGCAAGAAAACCGTGTTTTTTCATTGTCACCAGGTGGATTTTAAGTAACAGGAGCCAATTTATCTTTAAGAGGATCAAAATTCTCCATTTGAGACATGACAATGTGTTTGGCATTTTGCAAAGCAGCTTTAGATCGGAAAAAATACCGTTTGTATTTTGGATTAAGTAAAATAGCAACTGATTAATGTTCTGGTTTTTCAATTGCTGAAAAACGTTTTTCCATTGCATTTTTTAGAGCTATTTTCAATTTGTGAACACTGACGTCGCCGGTAGTTGTTTCCAAAGCTTTAATTATTGTTGTCACACTTAGAATGCAGAAACTGATACAAGAACCACTACCTGAAAACATTTTTGTTGCCTCTTCAAAAACACTTAAAATCCTCACCACTTTTTTATAGAGGCTCCAATCTTGGACGGAAAATTTAATTTTCACTAAAGGAAATTTGAGTAAGATTGCAGCAATGACTGGTTTCAGGTGTAAAATTCGCTCAAGCTTGTAATAGGTAGAGTTCCATCTTGTGGCAACATCGTTTTTTAAGCCAAGTCTGTCTTTTTTTCCCATTTGGATTTTTTGCTGTCTGTAAAGTTCAGTGTAGAAACCAGTAGAATGAGATGCGTAAGAACAAAGTTTTCGACTCTTTTCAATCAGTTCGTTGTTGATAGGATCTGAAAATAGTTCTTTTTTTATCATAAGTTGAAGAGAGTGGTTAAGGCATCCAGCTGACTTATAATTACAGCTTGGCTCATTGAAGGCTGCTTTTACATTTGCTGAATTGTCTCTTAAGCAAACTCCAATTTTTGAAGAAGTTTCCCACTCCTCCACTGCTGCTTTGAGTTCTTTGAAAATGTTTTTTGCAGTTTGACTTTCATCAAATGGAGAACAGGAGATGCAGAATTTGACACGGTTCCAGTCTTTGGAAATAAATTGAACAGTCATTTCCAGATAGCCATGATGAAAAGATGACCATGCATCAAGGCATACAGACACATCTTTAATCAGCTTCTGATTGAACCAGCTTTTCCTTGAGAGCAACTTTAATTTTTTCATAAGTCGGATCCAGTAAACTTCTGTAGTATTTTTCGCTAGCAATTTCGTAATTTGGAGCAATAAGGGCATGGTGCCTCAAAAACTCAGCATTATTGACAATAGACCATGGTTGGAGGTCAAGAATCATCATTTCAAAAATTGACTAGAATCAATTTTTGAAGAAGCTTGAACCCAGTTTAGAACTGTGGATTGTAACATGTCGGTTCTTTGTTTTTTTGATCGTATGTTGAAGATTGTAACTGTCTTTCTTTTGTTGGAACTTAATTCAGCTTCTTCATTTGCCTTCAGATTTTCTGCTTTTTCGGGTGTAAGATTGATGTCAGGATGATGATCCTTCAGATGTGACGTGAGTCCACTTAATCCTTGTTTTTTTGGGTCGTCAGATCCTCTTGAAACTTTGCTGTTGCAGATTTTGTACTGAACCATTATAGGATTGTTTGCTTCAATTATGAAGTATTTCCACACTAAACTTGTTTTCGAATTCATTTTATTAGAATGAAATCGAAGAACTTAATCAGATGAGTTTTTTAATGTTGCTAGTTTGAGTCAAGAACAAGGATTAAAAATATAATTAACAAGTTCTTTGTTAATTATATTAACTATATTAATTTGTATTAATAGTGTTGTTAACTTAACAATATATATATATATATATATATATATATATATATATATATATATATATATATATATATATATATATATATATATATATATATATATATATATATATATATATATATATATATATATATATATATATATATATATATATATATATATATATATATATATATATATATATATATATATATGTATATGTATATATATATATATATATATATATATTTTTTTTTTGTTAAGAAAAATTTCTTACGTTGCATTATTAAGTTCGTTAAAAAGACAATTAACAATTTAAACGAGAAAACATTAAAAAAGTTATAACGACAAGAAAACATTATTGTTTTAGTGTTTTAAGGACAAGAAAACATTAAAACAACTTGGTTTAAAAAAATGAATGAAACCAATAAAAACTTCATAATTTAATTCAAAAAAATTCCACGTGATAACTTAAAAAAAATCACTATGTTCGTAAAGATTTTATCGTTACTAATTCCATGTGATAATTGAAATAAATAAATAATCATGTCCATAAATATATGACTGTACAATGTAGATAACATTGTAGCGTCATTAAATTTGTAGAATATGATATTTTAAACATGATAATTAAAAACCAGATAAAACGCAATTAGATCAGACGCAAAAAATAATATAAGAAGTTGAAATAACTAGCAAAAAAAATAATTAAGTTTTTTTAATCAAAATACATTTACGCTACAATGCTGAATAATTTGTCTAAAATTTATGATATCTATTTTTCGATTCCGGACAAACTTATGACCAGAACCGGAACCGAACCAAATTTCGGTCGATCACCATTGATTGTTGTTGTACAACAAATTTTGATATTGTGCAACGTTTCTGCATATTCTTTATTGCCATCATTTACAAATAAATAATTTTGTCAAAAGGGCTAGCGAAAGACAAGATACCTGTTCCTAAAAAACTATTAAACACACGTTGGTCAGCACATGCTGATGCAACAAGCGGTTTGTGTGTTCACATTTTCTAAGATCTGTTCTTTGTGCCACCAACAATATTTTTTTAAAAATTATCGTTTTTGATTTAATTAATATATTTTCTACCATTTGTCTTTTGGTGTGAGAACTCGATTCATCAAATTCTTTTGTTAATTGACCTATTTTTGCTGATTCCTACATTAAACTCTCTTGAGAACCTGGTGATTCAACTAAATCAATTGTTTTAAAAACTGAATTAAGCCAAACATTACTTATGCAAATATTACGTGGGCAAGTTGTCCACCAACAAAACTTAAAAAAATTCTTTCCTTACAAAAACATGCTTGTAGAGTTATATACAACAAAAAAAGGGGGGACCACACTAAACCTCTAATGATGGATATTAAAATGATGAACATATATCAGATAAATATTTTCCAACATTTAAACTCTATGTATAAATATACCTATAATCTAACTCCTGAAATCTTCATAAGTAAATTTAATAAAAATTTAAATGAGAAGTATTTCTTAAGAATAAATCAAAGTAACACATATAAGTTACCTAAAAAAGTAAACAAATACACAGAATATAGTATAACTTATAGAGGTCCCAAGCTATGGAACTCTTTTCTGAAAGACAACTTAAATATGGCAAAATCTTTAAATTCATTTCAGTTTCAAACAAAAACTTACCTTCTAAATCTTACGGATTAATTTTTATTTTTGTTTACTAAAAATTTTTATTTTGCATTATATCTAATTATTTAACAGTTTGTATTTTTAAATATTATATGTAATCTTTATATATTATATATTGAATATAATATCATATATTTAATTGGAAATTTGTATTTAGATATATTCTTTTGTAACTTTTTGTGACTATTAGTATTTATTAATATTATATCTTTTTAACTATATATATATATATATATATATATATATATATATATATATATATATATATATATATATATATATATATATATATATATATATATATATATATATATATATATATATATATATATATATATATTTATATATATATATATATATATATATATATGTATATATATATATATATATATATTATTATATGTTCTTTATTCACTATATGTATTTTTAAATATTATATCTTCTTTTTTGACTAATTGAGGGTGTTTTTACTTTTAATTAATACATCTTCTTTTTTCTTTGTTTTTATTCTTAAATATTATATCTTCTTTTTTACTATTTTTTTTTTCCTAAATTTCCTACTTGATTTATTAACCATATATTACCATATATTATTGTTATGATCTGTAGGGGCTCTATGAAAAGATCAGGTTGGTATTTTGCCATCCATATCTTCTTTGAGCCCCTGACTGTTTATTACTTGTACATTTGTAATTATATTCGGTTTTTGGTGAAAGGAAATTGTAATTTATACAAACAGCAAAATAAAATAAAATAAAAAAAAAAAAAAAAAAAAAAAATTTCCACTATCTAATATTTCATAAATTTTTTCATAGTGCATAGTGCATTCATTCCATAGTGCAGCATACTTTTCAAGATTCATTCCATAGTGCATTCATTCCATAGTGCAGCATACTTTGGTTTTAATCTCTTTCTGAATAAGTTTATTTTATCTTCTCTACCTTAAATTCTAGTAAAATTGTTTTTAAACCTAATTATATTATCAAAAGTATTTTTCGAAACCTGAAAACATTGTAAATATGTCATAAATTGATTTCCTTCATTTCGATTAGTGGGGTATCAAAATTGTACTATAGAATTATTGTTTATTTTAGTTATATCAGACTTTATTTTTATTTCAATTATATTTAAAATTAACAATGTATTTTGAAACCATAAACACATGAAAATAAAATACAAAATAGCTTTTTATTTAAGAACAACGCAAAACAAGTTTACTTTAATCTTTCATGTTTTAAAATAGTTTGTTTTAAAATAAATAAATAAAAATTGCTTTTATTCGAATAAGTTTCTTTCAAAATTGTTAAAAAAAGTATTTTTTCTCAATTCTTTCCCTAATTTTAAAAGTATTTATCGCTCAAAATTGCGCATGATCGCAGCTACACACTTAGTGACCGCAGCTACACATGATTCTTGTTATTCTTGTTAACTTGTTCGTTAGGTAATTAAAAGTAAAAATATAAGTTAGTTATAATAAAAAATTGAAAGCTAAAGAATAATAAAAAATTAATGTATTATTATAGAAATAAGTTTTTGAACTAACCAGAAACTTCTGAACGATAGACATTGGAATGAAGCAAAGATCGTAGCCTTGAAGCAACCAATATTTGTCCTTTATGAGGTCGGGTTTTGTGAATTTCTAAACAAAGATTTTCAGTAAAACTTAAAAATATAAAGAGCGTAAAAAAGGGTTAAAAAAAAATGTTTTCTAATTTTCTATAATTTTAACAGAAAAATATAAATATTTATATTTATATAAATGTTTATTTAAAGAATATTTTAAATGATTCCAAGATTTACTTTTTTATATATAATGTTTAAGTTTAAAACCGCATTTAAAAAGTAATAGTTCTAAAATAAAATAATTTGCTGTTCTTGGCAAAGGCTAGGACTGAAATATACAAAATCTTTTTTTACTTAAATGTAATATTTTTGTTATCAATTTTATTAGTACATAATGAGTTTTTAACAAATTTTTCATACGTTATTTGAAGCGGTCATTTGAATTGGAAAAATTTAATTTTCTACAACTTAAATTTAATATTTTTAAGATCTACTTTTTTGATAGTATTATTTTAACAAAAAGTACTACTAGTAGTACTTTTAACAAAAATTACTACTCAATTAGTACTACTAATTGCTATTTCCAGATCTAGTTCAGTTCCAACAAGACTGTAATTATTAGCTTATAAAGTTTCAAGAAACCACTATTGAGTTAAAAGTTACAAGAAAACAAAGAATAGTGATCAACAATGAATGAATGAAGTTACAAGAAAACAAAGAATAATGATCGACAGATGATTTGGAAAAGTGTAGATTGTGTGAGTAAGGCAAATATAAAAATGAGATTGTATGAGTAAAGCAAATATAAAAATGAGGTTCAAATCATTAAAAATCAGGTATTTTAAAAGGACAGTAAAAATATGCAACTATACTAGATGACTAATCTAGGGAAAATGAGTTTTGGTTGATGAAACTAGAGATGGTAGTTTGTTTGAGTAGTAACTATGAAAGTATGTAAATAAAAAGGAAGAGATGCATTTTTATGAAGATGGGACACTTAGCTCAAGCTTGGTCCAAATACATTTAAAAAGCATTTTTGGTCAAAAAGAGAAAGTATATTATTTGAAGAACCAACCCAAATATGAAAACAGTACTCCAACCAGGGACAAATAATTGACTTGAAAAGTTAGAGATTGGAATCAGAAGTAAATAATAATGACGAGCATGATAAAGAACAGTAGATGGTAGCTCTCCAATAGATTGTATATATGGTTTCCATGAGATTTCAGTACTGAATGGAAATCTAGAAAAACGCAAAGTAAGGACTCAGTGAGAGAGTTTCTATTTATATAAATAGAAATTTTAACACCAACAACTTATGCAAGACTATGACAGAAATGTTGTTTGGACCACAAATTGTAGAAGATTTTAATTGAGAAATGACTTAAGCAACATAAGGCGGAGTGATTCGAATATATAACAATGGATTAACCTTTTTAACTGAAGTTGAAAAAAGGCCAGTAAAAATAAGCCAAAGTTCTTTGCAAATATCTATGAGAGAGATAATAAGATCAGACCCATTATTTGGAGATGGAATGTACAAGTTACCATAGTTAATGACACTGTTTAAAATTTTCTAAACGGCTTCGGGGCCTAACTTCTATAATGAGATAAAAGTGTTTGTAGAATGAAAATAATGCCTCTTTCTAGTCTACTAAACATTACATAGGATCTTTACATTGATTTCATGTAATGGTAAATAATTGCTTGTTCTCAGAGAGTTATTTTTGTAAAAAAAAGAAAAAAAGAAAGAGAACAATAAAGAACAACTAGATATAGCAGTTGGACAAGAAGGTAAAATCATAAAGTAGAATGAGCCTTGATTTTGAAATTAACAAGAAGGACTAAAAGCTTCAATACCTTCCCGGATTCAGAAATATTAAGTACAAGACACATTAACCAGCCGAGAAACAAAAGACATCAGCCCAAGAACCATCACAAAGTTAAACCGTTAAAAGATTTCCAGTCAGCTCTTGGGAAAAGCAAGTAGGGCAATAATAGGGTCAGTCAAAAAAGTTAAAGATAAAAGATCTTATAAAGATCGTTGCATCATCAGAACTGCCAAAGGAGAAATAATTTAAGAGTAAAGGTAAGTGATGTAGTGGTAGAGCGCTCGCTTCATAAACGATTGGTTCCGAGTTCGATCCCCACCACGTCCCTGGTAGTACCGCGCTCAACTCGTTTCTCCGCGCAGCAGCCTTGTTCGTCAAGGTTGGTGTTTCGGAGTTGTAGAGTTAAGAGAGGGTTATAGCCACAAAATAAGTAGCCTTCTTGTCTGTAGTGGCCTTCTCGGCCTTGTGGAGGTGAATTAAAATTAAAAAAAAAGTGAATTAAAGTTGCCTGGAAAATAAGTCGCAAAAATAACTATCTGAGATTTTTAGCAAAATAGCTTATAAACCCTTAAGAAAGTATTTTTAAAAAGATTAAGGAATGGGTTTTTGTTCACCTTACCTTCAAATAGAGTTGTACGATAATAACAACAAACGAAATTCAATTATTTAATGGTAAATACAATTTGCTTTTGTTTATTAAACTATATTTTTAAAAAGCATGTTAAATTTTATAAAGGAAAAATCTAATAAAGTCAAATTCTTAACAATTTTTAATTTTGTGATTTAAATAAATTCAGTTCCGAATTTTCTAAACTCTAATGAACCTTTTATCTTAGTTTCTGAGATGAAAAAGAACTTTGATCATAATCTATAAAGTAAAAAGAAAATCTAAGGTCTCTAATCCTATATCCAACTGAATATAGAAAACCTAAATGTTGTACAAATTTTAATATTTTTTAATTTTTATACCAAATTGAACATAAAATAAATCTCAACTCTTTCAATAATAAACTTGGTATAAAAACATATTAAAAACAAACGTTTTAAAAAACACATTTTATAAATATTATACATCAACTAAAAAGTAATAAAAAAACCTTCATTGAAAGCTTTAGTTGTTCCCTTAAGCACATCAATTGATAGTGCAGCAACAATATCAGCCTGTTTGCAAATAGCTTTGGCACGTTCCACCGCTAAAAATTTTGACAAAAATCCTTTATTTAAATAAAAGCAATGATCATGTTAGCTTTTTTGTTAATAAAAGCAAAAAAGTTCAATTGTTTGACTGGAAAAAAGTAATTTTAAATATGTAAATTAAAATAGATCTTTTTAAATTTTGGTATTATGATGTTTTTGAACTCGAAAAATATTTGTTCTTATTTCTACTTATGAGTACTCAAAAGGCAAAAGAAGTGAAAAAGACAAAAATGGAAACATGTAACAACATATGGAAAGGTTTATAAATAATGCGTCCTATTTTTTAAGATTAAATAATGCTGAAAAATGTAAAATCTATAAAACTAAGAGCCTAATTTATGACTTGATTTTTACCTATTTTTTACAAGTCACAATTTTTTTTTTTAAATTTTAAACTTATTTTTATTATTATTTAAATTATATTTCTAGATCTTAGTATAAATGACCATTTTTATTTGATTTAAAAGAATTCCAATAACCACATACATGACCTGAGATATGTTTACATATCTTAGGTCATGTATTGTGAAATCAGGTTTCTCAAATTATTTTTTTACTTCATATATTGTGTGTATGTTTCTTCAATCAGTCATATTTCTTTTTGTTCTTTATGATTATGCTACAATTTCACTCTTTTTAATGTTATTTTTCGTATAAATCAACCATAACCTTTCTCTTTATCTATCTTCCAATATTGTGTTTCAAGTAAACTAAATGCTATCACCATGATAAGTGTGGCTGTAGTATCACTTATCTTGCTGGCACTTTATGATGAAACCTTTTTCTTTACTCAATCTCTTACCCATATAGAATAACTCATGACTAATTTTCAAGAAAATCTAAATTACCTAACTTTGTCAGTTAATTTGTGTAATATTTCTGAGCACAAGTATAATTCCTAGTTGATGCTCAGTTTTTCCTTATTCTCTTATAGATGAAATTATGCTATGATTTCACTAAAACTTTTATCTTGGTATTTTTCTACATCTTGACCCTTTAATCGCATTTCTTACAAATTAGAGCTGGAATTCTTTTCTTTGGTCTTTAAGCTATTTTCTAATTTCTCTGCTGAAAAATGCATCTTCTATGTAAACTCCTTTAGTAAGGCAAGCATGTAAGTTTCTATTCATTCATATTTATTTTAAAGTAAAGCCTCAATTTATCTTATGGCTTCTTGTGCAGAATTTCCAGTTGCCATTATACCTACTTGATCTATTTTATGAGACAAAATCTTCTAAAAACCACCAACCTTTAATCATTGCAAATAATGGATCCAAAAAGATATTTTATCTTAACGACTAATATCTAAATGCTTTTAGAAATATTTTATTGCCGTCATTATTAAAGGCAAGCTATATTATTGTCATCAAAATAGGCAAGCATTTCTTCTTTTATTTATGCAAGTCTAACTATTGTAGCTATCTTTTATTACAGTTTTAAGATCTTTGAATCATTAATTAACAAAAATTTTCCACATTGTATTGAGTTCAACTTATTCTATGACAATCAATGCAAATTTTATTCGTTTTATTATGTTACTAATTTGTTAATGTTAAAAAACATAAGGGTTCCATTGTGCATTAAACTTTTTACTTCATTCCAAGTAACATCCTAAAGTGTGATCCTTGATCCCATTATGTTTCTTATCTATGTAAATAATCTTTATTCGGAATTTACTGCAGCTAATGATACAACTAATTTTTAAATATACCAATATTGACTTTCCTCTGTAACAGTTTGGCGAATTTAAACGTGAAGAAAACTTAGTTGCTTACTGCTTTACGCTCAGTTGTATAGTGATTTGATACATTGTAACACACTTACTAATAAAGTCCTTTATTATATAACTCTTTCACTACTGACCTCCGGTGGAAATCGTATATACAATCCTCTTGGTTCTACTTTCTACCTTTATAAATGTTTTACCCACCCTTGTATGGGTATATGGAAAACTTTTATTATATTTGGACTGGATCGACTAATATTTTCCTTTTTATTTTAGAAAAACTTTAAAAAGTCATTGTAAATGTAGCTGGTCTAGTTGCTGAGTTTGAGATTCTGTCCCGTTATTATAAATAAAAAAATGTTTTTAAAAAGTTGTAATGTTTAAATAACAATATTTAATATTTTAACAATAAATGTTTAAAAAAAAAAATTAGTAGAGACAGTGTAGTTTAAAATACATAAAAAGAATATTTTTAATGTTAAAAATATTAAAGGGCACTCTCCCGTAAAAAATTGAGGTAAAAAAAAAGTAATCAAGCCAACACTAATGACTTGAAAAATGAAACATCTGAAGTATCTTCGTGTAGGTATTATTATTAAATTTTTCTGGTAATTGTATCTCTATTTCTTTTTTGCTAGCATTACTATGGTTGCTGCTCAAGCAAGCTATTCTCTCTTGTTCCACCTAAAAATATACAATCATGTATCATTTGGCACGCAAAAATGTATAATTTTACTTTCACTTTCGTGTTCATAAACTTTTTGATCATCTTTTAATTTTTTTAAAAAACACAAAACTTGAAGTTTTAAAGTAAAATTCATCCGTTAACTTAATCATTATTATTATCTCTTACAAAAGTTAATAATATTTTGCATCATTTATTGGAATCTGAACAATGCATCACTTTTGTTTGTATTAATTTATTTAGTTACAACATTCGAAAAATATTCTTAGTTAGATTTATTTGTATCAAGATATTCAAATCAAGCAAACCAATTTTAAATGAAAAAAACCTTCGCATCCTAAAGCAGTTATCATTTGTGTTCCATTGATTAATGCCAATCCCTAAATTTAACAAAATAAAGTTTTTTAAAGAAGTAATATATCACTATTCCTGAAAACTCTTATTCTTATGAAAATCTCAAAGAGAAGAATTGTTATTATTTCATAAATAAACTTTAGGAAATAAGTTTTGAGTAAATTTACTAATATAAATTAATTACCAAGGTAAAAACAAAAATTATTTTATTTTTTAGATATGTTAGTCATTTTGCTTCCATTTCTTATTTTAATCTAAACCTATTTTGTTCTGCTTAGTTTTATTTTTTATAAAAATATTTGATTAATGAATGTGCATGTTTGATGTTAGTAGCCCCTTTCTTTTCGCAACTGATAACACACGTCAACATAGAAAACTTTTATTTCTGGTGCCGAGAAAATAATATGTTTTTGTAAAGCATTTCTCATTTTGATTTCACACATGCAACTAATTTTTCACGATCACGTCAAGTTGTAAAGATATTTAAGTTCAAACCATTATCATTCGGCTAAAATCCCTATAGATGTCAAAAAGGTTTTTCAAAAGTATGTTGACCGGGGTCTTAAAAGAATCGTATTCTCAAATAAACTTAAAAAAACTTTTCATACCTTTAGATTAGTAACTTGATATATACAAAACATTTAAAATTAAAGAGATATAAAAAAGCAGATGATTTAAAGATCAATTTTAATACTTTAGTTAGGAAAAATAATTCAAAATGACACATTGAAAAAAGTAATTCAGCAAACGATATTAAAAAAAAAAAAGGTTTATTACGGCATATCTAAAATAGCCACTTTATTAATATCAAAAATTCACATTATTACTTGCATTATGGTTAAGTGACATTGGATTAAGGTGATTCAAAATCACAATAGAAAAATGTTACTCATAACAAAAAATTTAATTTAAAATTTTTATTCTGTAGAACTTTTATTTTTGTCTATTATATTCCTAAAACTTATTTGTAACTTTCAACTAAATCTAAATACCTCTTTAGGTCCTAAATCCAATTTCTTTAAGCCGTGAACTGATAAAACCTATTAGAAAAAACTCTTTAAATTAATTTGAACTTGAAAACTTTTATAACTTAAAATTCTAAAGTTACAAACACTTAAATAAAAATACAATAAAATTTCAATTCAAAATATCAAATAAATATTTAAATATTATTTAACCCTTCTATTGAATTTAAAGTAAAAAAATAAATTAATAAATATAAATATAATAATATTTTTGCTTTTAACTTATCAATTTTTATTTCAAAATAACTCTTTGTTCAATTGAATGAAAAAGTCAAGACAAGTTATCTGTGTTTTTAATTTATAACGCATAAACTTTCAACGCAAAAAAGCTGAAATTCTCACCACATTTTCTATATATTTATTCAATTCAAAATCAAATCAAAAAAATGTAAAACTTAATGGTTAATTCAAATTGAAATGCTTTAAAAAAACTTTTGTGCAAAAATTACAGTACCCTAAAATCATGTTTTTGTATTCCAAACAAAAATAAAGGCCTAAAAATTAGTTTATTTGTTATTAGTTAATTTGATAATTCACTTACTTTAAAATATTTCAAAAAGGTATAACTATTTGCACAAACAATTTAATTCAACTACTTAGTAACATTTTAAAAGTGCGGAAAAGGCTAATGAACTTTTAAAGATACTAACTACTAACAGAAAAAAACTAAGAGTAAAGGCCGTAAGAAAAAAAAATTTCTTAATGAATTATTTCTGAGCTTTAAAATGCTTTCAACTAAGAATAGGTATGAAATTATAAAAAGATTTCATCAGCAAAAAACTTTTGAAAGCAATTTTTTCTCTTTACATGATTATACAAGTAGATACAAGTATGTATCAACATGTATATAGTATCCTTAAAGTTTTATAAGCCGTTTACGCACTTTTACTTTTACTTTAACTACACTCTTATAAGAGTGTAGTATTTCATTATTACACATAAGAGTGTAGTTATTCATTATTAGAAAGTTTATAAAAGTGTAGTAAAAGTCAAAGTTTTTCCCTCTCATTATAAGAAAGTTTATTTATACAGAATATACAAAACAAGAATGCATTCAAAGTATAATATGACTCGAAAATGGACCTTATATTCATATAATAATCTAAAGTATTGTGCCTGATCTCTTAAGGAATACTTTAAATTACAAAAAAGTTCATCGAGCAGCATTTAGTTGATCTTTTACAGCTAGTAAAAGATCAACTGAAAAAAATATTTTTAATGGCAGAACAATTATCTGTTAATCATTATTCTGCTTTTTTCATTATTTTTTCAGACTCTGAATAATAAGATCTGTAGAGTTTCTTATAAAATTGTAATAGTTAAAAGAAAATGCTTAAGCAATTTCTTTTAACTATTAAACAAGCTAAATTGTTTGATAGATTTGATAGATGAAAGGACCCTTTACAATTTCACGGAATGCTAAAATAGAGCAATTGTTATTAACATATCCTTTACCGTCATTGTTTGTGTATTTGACACTATTTTGAGGTATAAAACTTATTATTTACGCGTAAAACAAGTAAATATAAAACAAGTAAATTCAGTGCCGGATCAAGGGAGGAGGGGTTAGGGGGTCTATTGCCCCGCGCCCGGCAAATTAGGGGTCCCAAAAAATTTTAGAGGAACTTTTTTTTTTCCACTCATTTTTAGGCCCTGGCCCATAAAAAGCCTCAAAAAATAAAAATAGCCCCGGGCCCCAAAAACTCCTAATCCGCCTCTGAGTATACCATGAAAAAATCTTTTAACTTATCTTAATCTTTTCTTTTTTGATCATTAAACTTTTTTGATCATTAAACAAGACGTTTGGGACACAAACCATATGTTAATATGGTGTGAAGGTATTACATACAAAAATATTTGATTTCTTATATTTTTAATAGGATTTGAACAGCACATGACAGATCCAATAGAAAATTTTTGAATAAATTTGCACCAAAATTAAAAACGGTAGCAAAAATAAAAAAAATGGTAACACTCCCACAAGTTTTTTTTTAATATTTGAGTCTATCTTTTTGGCAATAGAGAAATAACATTAATAAAATCATTAGCTGGTATAAAATAAAAAAATTTCTTTACGCATTGCAATCAAGACTGAACTAGGAACGGGAAAAGGGAGAGAAGGGGAAAAAAATAACATAAATAGAATGGAATTTTAGTGGAGCCGGAGCCGCAAAAATCAAGTGGTTCTCGGCTCTCGTATTTTTTTCAAAGATATAGATTATATGTTTTGTTTTTTACTCTAGAAAAACTTTATTCATTTATTGTTTGATATTGAAATTCTAATTTTTGAAAATATTTTTTCTATTAGATACGGGCTTAGAAAAACGTAATAAAAAAATTATTTTAACAATCTTGTACTCAACAAATTACTATTTTGTTTTTTAAATAAAGCATAGAAATAGTATTTCTATGCTTTATTTAAAAAACAGTAAATTATATATGGAAACATAACAGTATTACATTTATTACTTTATATTATATTTTATACTAATACTATGCTGCTAAATATATTCACATCTTTAAAATTATATTAAAGCATGCGATCGTTAAACTTGCAACGATGGGTTTCGTTTTAAAACTTGTCGGTAACACATTATGAAGTTATTTTTTGTTGGCGTAAATACATTAATTTACATATTACATATAAATACATTAAGTTATTATAGTACTAACTAAAAATATCAACAAACGAGTCAAAATGTTTCTCTTAATTAAATTGTCATCAAAACAGTTAGAAAAAACAAAAAAAAAAATTTGCGCAACAATCTACAAAAATCTTCTGCATCGTTACTTTCAATTCTAAAGAATCTGAATCTAGCAAAACTACTGTTTTGCTAGATTCAGATGTTATAGCAATTGAAAGTAAGATGCAGAAGACTTTTGTATGATCATAGTTCTTGCTTCATGCCATTATTCTAATAAAATTGGTACAATGAGACATTTCGGATATTTCTTAGAAGCTGGAGCCGAACCGTATTTTTTTATTTATTTATTTACACTTTTGCCGATAAAAATAAATTTACAGTCGTAACTTATAAAAAAAAAAATAATTACATGACCGGGGCTAGAAAAAGACAAATTTAGTCTTATCATTAAGCCCCAAAAAATGCGTCATAACTAGACAAAATATAGTTTAACAATAGAATATAGTTTCAATGTATATATCTCTGATTTATATTATAAAAGAAAATTTAAATATATCGCATATCGTTTAAAATTTATAGTTTTTCAAAGAATAAGATTTAACAATTGTTTTGTAAAATAAAAGAAACAAAATTTAATAAAATATTAAAATGACAAAAATAACATTTAAGACTTGGTTTGAAAAAATAAGAAGATATGATTTTATATAAAAACATTGTATTGGTAGAGCATTTTATAGTTTAACTTATTTAATTATATTAATAATACTTTTCATTGCCAATTAAGTAAAAGCAAATAAACAGTTTAAAATAAAAGTAAAAGATTAATAAATAACGCAAAAATAAAAAATAAATTTCTCAAAAAGAAGATTATCATTTGAAATAATAAAAACATATGTACAATTGTTGATTATGTATTAATAGTCTAAAGTAATTAATTAATTAACTATTAATTATTGATTTCTAATATAAAGAAGTTTTATTAGAAAAAATTTAATTCATTTTCAGTTAACAAAAGTAATTGCTTAAGTTTTGTTTTGAATTGGTTTAGAGAATAATTAGTTTTCATTTCAACTTTGGTCCTCGGTTTACAATAGAGAATTTAGTAGCGGAATAATAGGTTTTGGATTGAATGTAGTTGTATTTTAAAAATCTTGTAGGGTATATGTGATTTATTTTTTCAAAAATTGAATAAAATAAGATTGGTAATATATTTCTATCAAGTTTGAACATGAAAATAAAAACTTGATAGAGGTTTGGTTTATATACATTTAGGATATTGAGTTCATTAAAAAGTGTTTGTGTGTGTGAAAAACGATCTACGTTTGAAATTATCCTTATCGCCTGTTTTTGTTTGCTAAGCAATTTTTTTATTTTTGTCGCGTTAGTGCTACACCAAGCAATGTTCGCATGACTTAAGTAGCAATGAATAAAAGAAAAGTAAATGTTTTTTAAACAAGATCGATGTAATAACTGCTTTGCTTTGTACATTATTCCTAAAATTTATGATACTTTATCTTCAACTACACCTATGTGTTCCCTCCAGGTTACATTTTTGTCTAGAAACACGCCTAAAAACTTAATTGATTGCTCTCTCTTTATTAATTGATTGTCAATAAAAAGGTCTAGGAGTTCTAAGGGAAATATCTGTTTTTTTATGTAGGCGATGAAATAAAGTGTATTTTTTTTTAATAATATTTAAAGGTAACTTGTTTGATTTAAACCATTGGGTTAGTTTGTCTAGTTCTTTGTTTAATGCTTGAAATAATATATTAATATCTTCATTGGAATAAAACAAGCTGGTATTATCTGCAAATAAAATTGTATTTAAAATGTTAGAAAATTTATTTAAATCGTTTATATAAACAAGAAATAAAAGTGGCCCTAAAATTGATTCTTGAGGAACACCACATTTAATTGTCTCATAATTAGTTTTTCCTTCATCATAAACTATATACTGCTTCCTATTGGTCAAATAACTCTCGAACCAGGACAAGTTAGTATTTTTTATACCATAACTTTTGAGTTTCGATAGAAGGATTTGATGATTGACTGTATCGAAAGCTTTACTTAAATCGATAAAAAGACCTAGGTTATACTTGCCTTTATCAAACGATTTAAATATGTCCTGAACAAGGTGAGTGATTGCATGATCGGTGGAATGGCCAGATTTGAGTCCAAATTGTTTATGGTAAAGAATATTATTTACATTTAAAAAAGAATAAAGCCTATTATACATAACTCGCTTTAATATTTTAGAAAAATAATTAAGAATTGAGATTGGACGATAATTTGCAACTTCAGAAGGATCGCCTGACTTTAAAATTGGAATGATTTTTGCAATTTTTAGGTTTTCTGGAAAAACACCATGTTTTAAAGATAAATTAAAAATATGTAATAAAGGAATTGTTATGAATTTTATCGATTTAATAACGACATTACTACTTTTAGAATCGAAACCTACACTTTTTTTGGGCTATAACAAAGAGACTGCGTCTAATAATTCATTTTCCGTAAGTTTAGGATTAGACATAACACTAATGTTGTTTGAGGTTACGTAAGACTTAAAGTCTATTTGAGAAGTTGCTATACTTGGTGATAAAATAGGACCTATATTTACAAAAAACTGATTAAGTGTTTTGGCCACTAAGGACTTATTTACAATACAATTGTTATTAACTTTAAGATTTTTCGGAAGTAAATTGTAAAAAATAAAAATACTCGGCTCGACAAGCTTGATACTGGCTAAATTTATAATGTTACAAAATAAGTTTGATACTTATTTCCATAGTTAAAACTTTTTAAAAATTATTGGAACTCATTAGAGTAACTAATAAAATAGTTTTAAATTATTAATAATGTTAAAAAACTTTAAAATTTAATTAAAATCAAAACTTTATATATTCACAACTGCTTAAAAAATAAAAATATAATAATAGAGAAAACCGTTGAAGCATCAGCCCAACCAGTCTTCGGTCCCCACATTGATCCCTCTCCAAGCAGTCCTAGTACAAGATGAGATAATGGCCCTAAATCTCCACTAGCGCCAACCGTTCCTTTTTGAGGAATTTTTGAGATGCAACCAGCTATTTAAAAAAGTATTAGCTATTTAAAAAAAAACAGTTTTTATTTTAGTAAAGTAGTAAACATACAGTTATTGTGCAGTGATAGCGCTGCCTTCATAAGCGAGAAGTTTTGCATGTCGCGGAAGTATTGTGCTCAATTTCATTACGCAGCATTCTTATTCGTCAAGTTACCACAACTTTTTTACTATAACTAAAAAAATCCTCTTTAACTATAGTTAGGGGGTGATTGAAATTCAAAAAAGTACTGGAATTGGAAAGTCCCAACTAAAAACTGGGCTTTAAATTAATCTTTGTTTTTGGTCTCAGGTGTATAGCAGCTCCAAATACTTCTGACAAAGCTGAAGGCAACCACTATTTTGGTAACTTGTCATATACTGCTTTATAAACTTCATCATTTCTCTTCCATTAACTTCCACAATAGTTAGAAGTTACTGCAAAAGAAATGATGAGGTTTATAAATCAAGATAAAGGGAGAAAATCCTAATAAATAATGTTAATTAAAAGCAATTTACGACCATGTGACAATGGTTAAAGATTGGCTGCAAGAGCAGGTTCAACTATGTCTGTAATGCACTTTTCTCACCTAGTCTAAAAGAGAACGGGAGTCATTCTTAGATCCGCTCTATGTATGGAAACGAAGAGTAGATGACTCTTCTAGTACATTACTGTTTATAAATATAGGGAGATCAAGGTTATTACAATAACGATTAGTTAAACAAATTGCTTTTTATCTAAGTTAAAGTACACCAGTCACTGAGACCCCCATGCTGTAACAGAAGTGAGATTGTTGTCTAGAGAATGCTGTTTTGGGAGGTATATTTCTATATTACAATTGGTAAGAAAAGATTAAATAATCTTAAAAATGTTACCAGACACACCATAAGAGGCAGCATATTGAGTTGTCCAGCATGCCACACTTTATTGAAGGCTTTTGAAATGTAATGAATGATATCCCTAACCTCTTTAACTGTATCTTGTGCCCAATAAAATTTTTCAGTTTTTACAGTTAAGAAAGTAAGTTTTTAGATTCAAGATTATTGATTATATGAATGGTAAAGAATCTAAAACCATGCTTATAATAGTAAAAAGACTAACGGTACATTTGTTAGACGATTTAGAATTCCCTTTAAATACAGAAGCTTAAGAGATATGAGGGTCAAAAATGGTTTAATCTGTTTGCTATATTAGATACGATATGATTAGAGGTATTAAGAAATGAATTTGTATAACTTTCTTATCAAACATTTTAGCTTTGTATATAGGTAAGTTAACATTTTTAACCATGCAAGAGAGACGGAATAAGAAATTTATCCTTATTATAGACATTATTAAGGATTAACTGTTAAAGATGTCATGGGAGCCTTACTTTTAAGATAAAATTTAAGATTTCGTTACCTAAGAATAGCTCAATTAAACATTAGACAAATCAGTCAGCTTCAAGGTAGTTTTAGAAGGTACACTAGTAAGATGATGAAGGAAAATGAGATAGCAGTTTTAGAGAGATTAAACCGTGATCAAAAACACCTTAGGATAAATGCGGAGAAACGCTCATTAAAGTTAAAAGCTCAGTAATTTGAATTTTTAGAAAAGGAACTTGGAAAGTTAGCAATAGAAAAGTAATTGAAAAGTTAGTCTCTCAAAAACTTTAATGCTACTGGACACAAAAGACCAAAAGAATAAGCAATTTTTTGACTTTTAAAACTAGTCTTTTTTGGAACTTTCTATTCCTAGCTACAGCTATTATACTATATAATAGTATTTTAGTTATATACTATTTGAAATGAAATATTTATTAAATTATTATTATTATATTAATAATTTAATAGTTTTTGTTTACAATACTTATTAAGCTATTAATTATATACAATAGGAAAATTATTTAAATGTATATTTTTTAGTTAATTGTTCAAATAGTATTTAAAAGCACAACTTTCAGTTAACCATGTATAAAAAAAATTAAATAAAAATTTTTTTTTAAAAAGTTAACTAACTATTATCTAAAAATAATACATTAAAAACTAAAAGCTGAAAAATTCAAAAGTTGAAAATTTTATAAATTACCTAATATAAATTATCCTAAAGTTTTCAATCACACTTTTGATCTTTAATACGTTTTAAATTTTTTTAGGAGAAATACTTACAGTTAAAAAATGTTTTTAAGAGTAATACAGTTAAAAAATGTTTTCAGGAGAAATACTTACAGTTAAATACATCAATTAATGTTTCAAGATTCTCAACAGAAATACCACTTAAAAAGAATTTAAAAATTACAATCATATGACAAAACTTGAAGTAATGATCAAGTTACATTAAAAGTTCATAAATCAACAAAAAAGTTAAATAAATAAATAACAACAAATAAATAGATTTAGAATTCCTATACAAATATACATGATTAAATCTTTACAGGATTTAACCTGTAATACAGAACTGTAAACCTTTAACCTGTATACAACCTTAATCTGTAATACAGACCTGTAACCTTTCGCTAGAACATTGATTCTCAATGCTAATAGACTTCTTGATCTTTCTAATGTTAACGGCTCTCCAACACCTTAATTAGTATGGCAAAAAAGTACAAATAAGACAAAAAAATAAAAAATAAAAACTAAAAAAAAATAACATCATTCTTACAAGATGTTTGTGATTGAAAAAATAAAAAAACACTACAATTTTAATTTGTTTCTACCAAAGGTATGTGTTTAAATTTAAAAAAGAAAACACTACAAAAAAAATTCGATTCTTACATGATGCATGCGATCTTATAAGATTTAGTTGCACCTGTCTAAACAAAACAAAAAAATAAAAAACATTGTATAAAATTTAATAAACAATTATGACCCAAAATAAGTTCTTTACTTTAAGTTTTCTTCGCTAATAACAACATTTGCAAAATTTCCAAATCCTGTTGTTACCCCGTATACAACTAAAAAAAAAAAAAAAATGAAAATTATTTAAATCACAATTTGTTGTAAAGTGTATAGAAAATAGGTTGGCAATTACACAAAACACATATTTGTCAACCTGAATTTTTGTGTGAATGAAATAGATTGATCTAGGTTGCTTGTTTTATCATTGCTTGCTATATAAGAAGAAAATTTGAGCAGCACTGCAAGGATATAGAAATAGCTTTCATACTTGTCAATAACTAAACTGACTGTCAACCTTATTAAAGTAAACTTAAACACCTTAGTTTTTCCCCAAGGGTAAACCAATCTATATTAAAAAGTGTTTTGTTTACCCCTGACATAAATAAACAGTATCGTATGATTGTAGTCATGTACTTGTTAAGTAAAAAATGCTTTTAATATATTTAATGTTTATAGCTGTATAGTTTTCACATGTATGACTTGTTTAGTTATTATCTATTAACCACTGAAAACTCAATATGTTTATAAAAACACTTTGAAACTTTAAGGAAAAATTAAATTTGATTTTAAAAATTAAATTTTAATCACATTATTCACAAAACTTAAAAAACTTATAATAAAAATTCAACTTATTCTTCAATTTCTTTTAAAAGAAATATATTTATGAAATTTTAATCTATAAAAATGCTACTTAAAAATACCTTTATGTTCACGAACAATATCATTTATTAGGTCGCGTGCTTTTTGCACTTTATGGCGTGCATTTTCTGTTAACTATAGAATAAAAATATAAAAAATATAATTTATATAAGTGAATATATGAATAAATATAAATTCGAAACATATGAATAAATATAAATGATTATGAATATAATATCAATAAAAACCATTAAAAAGTGTAAAATATTTATTTGAGAACTATATTCAAACATCAGTTAAACATAGAAAATAAGAAAAATGAATACATTTAATTTAATTTTTTAGATTTGAAGACATTGTTAATAGAAAAACTAGCATAAAATGTTGCTTATTAACTGAATGATAATAACTTATCAGCAGTGTAAAAAAGCTTATCAGTCAGCGTTAGGGTTAGGGCTAAATAAATTTATTAGTAGAACAAAAAATATGTAATATTCATAAACTGAATATTAAAATTAAAATGCCGGGTAAAATAAAAGTAAAACTTAGATTTTTATTACCAAATCTACTTTTCATATTTTGGTATAGATGGTTCAATAATGGAATGTAAATTATTTCTAAATGATACTTAGTTTACTCTCTTTTTTCTTATTGTATTTTTCACTTGTAAATTAATTTTACAAAGAGTGATTAATAAAATAGTAACATACACATGTATAAAGCGTAGAATTATATAAAAATATCAGTAGTATAATATAAACAATAATATAAAAGCGTAGAATACAAAAAATTTAGTAATTTGATATAAATTTTGTAACAACTTTTCTGTAGTTAAAATAACAGTTCTAGTGAATTTTAAAAGTAGTCAGAGATGTTTTTCAGGGTCAGGGTTAGGGTAAGGGTTAGAGATAATTCTGGTGTTAGAGATAATCTCTATGGATGACCCTAACCCTGACCCTAATCCTAGTGGTAGTTTTTTAAAAAAAAAAACATTTACTTGGTACTTTTTTAATTTTTAAACGTGTTCTCGTTTTTTTAAATAATTAAAATAGGTATTTTAAATTTTTTTTTTTTAATGTTTACTCTAAACAAAATCACCCCTGGCAAAGAAGTTAGAAAATATAAAAAAAGGGGAGAGAACTCCAAGGTGCAATTGTTTGAGGAATAAAACTAGATAAATTGAGTTGTTTGAGGAAGAAGAAACATATACAGTAAAGAAATACAACATTGCTGAATGACTAGGCAGGCAAGAATTTTGGTTTATTGAAAAAATGATAATAGCTTAAGCAGTGACCATGGTAGTTCATATAAAAAAGTGAAAAAGGGGCAATGATTTGCAATGGATTGCATAAACTAGTATAAGTAAGAATGACGCTAAAGCTCATTACTGAATGAGCTTTAGCTTTTAGTTGTTATGCACTAAACTGAGCGAAGTAAAGTGAAATAATTGAGTTAAGTAAAGTGAAATAACTGAGTGAAGTTTTTTATTCATAAAAAATAATAACAAAATAGCTAAAAATGATAAACAAAAAAATTATCATTTCATCGCCATTTTTTTTATTGCTTTATAAAAATTTGAGTTCTTTAAAATAACGATTCATCTGTTGAATCTTATCTCTCGCAAAATTCACCCGACTTAACTGTCATTGTGCAACTAAATTAAGTTAGGTTGTCTTATCATTGATCTTATTATTGACAACTGTTATCTTTTGATGCTTTTAATGATTTTGTTGATAAAACATTATGATCTCTTTCAGTTAATGCTATTAAATTATCAAATGGATATTCCTAGGTTAAATAATTAATTTATTTTGCTTTTTTAAAAAACTGAATTAGATCTTTAAAGTCGTATTTTTACTTGAGAGTTATTAACTTAAAGCTCATTATTACTGATTCATACTGTTTTTCATGAAGACATTTTATTCATGTTGCTTTACCTTGCAATGTTTAAATTCTTTTTGTGTCTTGAGCTAAGTAATGATAACGCACTAAAAAATTAACTACAAAATTAACTTGACTAAACCACATCAAGTCGTTTGAAATCATAATTTCTAAATCTTTTCCAACTTTGTTTTTGTTTAAATCAATCAATCATTTATTTCTGAACTAAGGTTTTACATTCAAGGATGTTTACAAATAGTAAATATACTAATATAAAGTAAACACCTACTAATGTTAATAATATCTAATTAAAATAAATATAATGCTAATTTTCAAAATATATAATAACGATAATAAACTTTATAACATAAAATAACGATAAGTTTAAATCGGTAAAATTTAGCATTTTGGGAACATTTTAACAAGACTGAATATGATTTAAATAAAACTTTTACGTTCAAGGGTAACTTTTTTATGTATCTCGTGTTTTTCAATCATTTACGGATATGTAAACAGGTAAGTTTAAGATTTTTTTATTATTATTATAATTGTTATTGTTATTATTGTTATAACATCGTTATTTATATTTATCTTTATTTTATGTTATAAAGTTTATTATCGTTATTATATATTTTGAAAATTAGCATTATATTTATTTTAATTAGATATTATAAACATTAGTAAGTGTTTACTTTATATTAGTATATTTACTATTTGTAAACATCCTTGAATGTAAAACCTTAATTCAGAAATAAATGATTGATAGATTGATTTAAAACAAAAAAATTACTCAAAGAAATTAATAGAAGCAGAGCAATGGTCACGATCATGGTAGTTAGTGACAATGCTTTCAAAAACAGCAATTAACAAAATAATATATATGAGTAATAAAGTAAAATTGCAGATAATTTTTGCTATAAGTAGATTCCACTCAGAATATTAAGTTTTTACAAAGGTTGTGAGCCTCTGCACAATATGCTGTTGATGGATGCGTTCAAGAATAAATTTTACGCCCAATTTTATTGAATTTTTCTACAAAAGAAGCACAGTATCAGGCCGTTAAAATGAGTTAATGAGACTTGCATTGGAATTGAAAAACTTCATAGGAGAGTCGTTCGAGGGAACAGCAAATATGTCGGGAAAATAAAAAATATCAGTTTTCATGTTTTGGCATGCACACGTTTTGAAATTAGTTGTTGGTTATATTACAAACTCTTGCATTCAACCTCAAAATACTTTTAGCTAGTTACAATTAACAGCAAATTTTTTTCTGATTTATACAAAAGAACACAATTTGAAAAAATATTATGAGTAAGAAATGCACCTGAAAAAATCAAGAAAGATATTTATTTGACAACTTTTTTTCGATATAGAATGTTATATTTTAAAAGTACATACATTATTTTTCATAAATTTAACTTATGTAAGATTGTAAAGTTGTGTACATGAGAACGCACGCGCTTGGCGTTTTACACTTGACATCAGCTTTTGCAAGGTCTTCCTGCTAGAGATTCTTGAAATCTTGGATATTTTTAGGTTATTTACATTGAATTTTAGTTGTCCATTGATAATAATCCAATATCTTTTGATAAGACGTAATTTCGGAAAATTTGGTGGACTGCGGTGTTTTAACAAAACTATTACTTAATATACTTTATACTATGTTAGCTAGTTAAAAGTTGTTTCGGAGTAGTAACATGATAATAAATTGGGTCAAAATAAAAGATTACTTGCATAAGATCTTAACAACGACAAAGACGCTTCTTAAAACATTCTTTGATTTATATTTTAGTGTTAGTTATTCCTGAAGTCATTAAACAAGAGCTTCTTCTACCGCAGTTACAAATTACTGGCCAAACGAATAACTTTTTGAACAATTTTTTTCGTTTAAATATAATTATATTTGGCGGTCAATGCCTTGCAATTATTTGCTGATTATTATTGGTTTCCTTGAAGTGATCGGATTAAAGCCGCACAATCAGCTTCATTTATGCCGAACAATCAGATTCATTTATGCTGCACAATCAGCTTCATTATCAATAATCAAATAAGATATTTTTTATTATATATTTTTACTTTACATCAACTTTGGTTTAATCAATTTTAAAACATTTATTTTTTTCTTCACCATCCTTACTCCTAATGTCAAATTTTTTTCTTTTCCATCTATTTTAAATAATGCACGATGACTTTCCATTAATCTTAAATGATGCACCAATTGCGTTTAAAGTTGAGATAACTCTATGAAGTTAACACAGTCACAACTTACCCTAGCCTTTTCTGCTGCACAAACTGATCTAATCTCAAAAACAATTCTATTGTACTGCCACTATTTATTTCAAAATCTCATTTAACTTAATCTCTTAATTATGTTGAGTACATTTTCTCAAAAACATAAAATGAAAGCACAGTGTACCACCTCAAAAACAACAAGTTACTAGCTACATTTTATGTAAAACAATTGCTTACAAACTGCTTTAGAACAACGTTTTCTGTAACTCCTTAACCTATGACATTTAGATAGTTAAATTTGTATAAATTCCAATAAAATATTTGTCAAGTTTCCTATTAATCATATCCTACATGTATTTGAAGCATTTTATTTTTCGTTATGAAAACATGTTAGTTGCAAGTACGGCAACATAAATTGTAAATTGTTAAAATAAGTGATTATCGAAATATGTACTGAATATAATTGTTTACAAAATCATAATTTTTTATAAGTGAATGAATGGAAAGGAAAATAAATATGTGACAAAGCCATTAAGTTTAAGAAATTAAAAACAAAGTTAAAAATACAAATAAAAAACATCAAACCTTAATAAAAAGGTTTCCTTTACCACATTCAACAAGTTCTTTTGTGGTCAAAGAATCTCCATCAATAAAAATCACCTAAAAAGGCAAAACCAATTGTAAAAATAAAAACTCATTTCAATAAAAATTGCCTAAAATAATTATTTTTGTATAATAATTAGAAAATAAATGTATAATACATAAATTTAAACAACTTTAAAGTTATAACAATTGCCGAAACAAAAAATTAATTTAAGTTTAAAAGAGAAAAAAAGTTTAAGAAAACAGTACAAAAAAAAAATTGAATGACAAGAACTGTGTCTGTGTGCCCCAAAAACATGTTTAAATAAACTATTTTGAATAATTTGTTGGTAATTAGGCAAAATGATGCCATCTTCTCTCTAATAATTAATATTGTTGATGTTGATAATCTTTTTTATACCAATTTCAACAAGTTTTATATAAATAGTAATAATAATAAAAAATAGATGATAACTATCTACACCATGCTTAATTAATATCAAAATAACAAAGCCACAACTAACATACAGTAGTTGGAGTTTTAGGTAATGTGTTAGCTCACCTCTAAGTTATGAAATGTATGTTTGTGTTTTGTGGGAACCTCTGGCGCATTGTAAACTTACTAATAATTTACTAAATATATGTTTGGGTTCTGTTTGAAGTTTAGTATAATGTCAGTTCAGTAGTTAACTAGTGACTACAGTTTTATAGCATACCAATTACTTTAAAAGTTATACTTTAGATAAAATGATTTTTTTTCGTATACTTCATATTCTTTTATCATATTCTTCTGCTCAATAAGAGTAGATAGAGTACTGCTTAAAAAAGTAACTTCTTTTAACTACTTTACGTCAGGTTTAGGATCATCACAATCACCCACTACTGGTAACATATAATACAATACCAAATCCTGCCCTATCACCAACTGCCAGTAGGATTTGCTTTTCTAGGCAAAAACTTGAAAAATATATTTAAACTTAAAAGACCCCTTATCTTAAGCACATTTTTAGGTAACACCTAGAGATGGTATCTTGATAGAAAACTTATCTCGGCAGATTAACTGCATCCAGCAACTGCTTGCAGAAGACCTCCTAGGTAAAGACTTTAAAGGTTAAGAAGAATAATTCAGTTGACTAGCCTCTGACAACTTCTTCATCTATTAGGCTAGCTTAAATATAAACCTGTTTTATATTTTTTTGTATCTAACAAAATGACAGCAGTATCTTCTTGACAGTACTTATGGGTTTTTCCTTGCGCCTTCTCGATAATGGCTATGCAACGCTTTCCCTTATCTCCTATTGAGGGCCAGCTCTAAGTTTTAGTTTAATTGAGCAGAGGCTGGTCTATTTATTTATTAAAACGATATTTATACATAATAAACGTTTTCAGTTAAACAAACTATTGCCAAAATGTGACAAGGTTAAACATAAAATTTTTGCCTGTCATTTCGAGTTAAGTTGAAATTCTTTTTTGAAATTCTAAATGACAAATCTTGCCTAATACATTTTCTATTGTTGAATAGTGTTAAAGTAATTAGTAAAATAATTATTAGTTAAAGTACTTGAAGAAAACAGAAAGAAAATCAACATTACGATAATGTGATAATGGTTAAAGGTTGGCTGCAAAAGCAGATTTAAATATGTTTACAATACATTTTTGTACCTTGTCTAAAAGAAAAATGGCATCATTTGAAGTTCCACTCTAGATATGGCAACAGTGTTCCGTACAAATACAGATTTGAGATTTATAATAGAATACGAAGCAAGAAAGTGTCAAAAAAGATAAAGAGATGCAACCCTAGCAGATCTTAATTCTGCAATTGATTTGATATATGGTTTTCAAGAATAATCAAAATTAAGAACAAATTCTAGATAATGAAGGGTAGATGACTCATTAAATTATAACAATAACGATTGGCTAAAAAATATTGGGTTTTATCATAATTTAAGTTCAACAGCATCTTAGAGCCAAGTTTTTAAGCAGAAAGGAGATCTTTTTCAAACTCATATCCCCCCTCCAAGCAAAAAGTGAGTGTTGGCTACTTATCAATAAAAGATCAAATAATAATTTCAAGAGCGAACAATGCCACCTTAGATGTGAGAATATCTGAAATATTATTAATGTAAACTAAATAGAGTACAAGGTTGATGACATAACCTTGACGAAGTCCTGACGTTTCAAGATATGAAGGAGAATGCTGTCCATCGAGGTCAATTTTAATACTACGCTCGAAAAAAAAGTATTCAATAATCTAAAAGGCGTTTAATTGATAAATCGCAAGAAGAAAGCTTATGGAAAAGATTAGCGTGCCAAACGTTATCGAAAGCTTAGAAGTTTCAAGAGCAATAGCTTTAACCTTTTAACTTCTATCTTTTGACAATAAAACCGATTGGTTATTACTGTTAGCAAATCAAGAGTGGAACGAGAAAATCGAAATCTCCGTTGTCGTTCAAAAAGTTATTAAATTCAAGATAAGAGATTAAGTGTTTGTTAATTAAAGGCTCAAAAACCTTGCTTATGATATGAAGAAGACAAATTGGACGGTAGTTATAGTTCCATAATTTTTGAAAATGGGGGTAGCAGATGCCATTTTTTATTCGGGAAAACAAAGCTCCAATAAGCACTCGTTAAACAGTTTTGAAGGTTTAAAAGACAGCTCCGGAAAACACTTTTGACAGACTACAACAGGAATGTTTTGAATGACCACAAGGTTTAGAAGATTTGAAACAGGAAATTACTTTAGATACATTAGTTGGAGTGATACGAATGTCAACCAAGTTATTAATCTGTTTGTCGGCTATATTAGGTGGAAAGCGACTAGTGAATTCAAGAGATGATGATGATGAAAATTTCTTATCGAACAACTCAGCTTTGTCTTAAATAGACACGTCTTACCTTAAGTTAATATTTAAAAAATTTTGAAGCCAACATTTATAAGCGCACGGTGTCACGTTTAGGCATTCAATAATATATAAGATTGGTTAATCGCGAAAATAGCTTGATGTATTAAACATTTTAAAGTTTTAATATTTCTTATGTATATTATTTTGTTTAAGTTTTAATTTCCAAACAAAATAAAGGTTTATAAAGCTAAATACATATGATTGCACTAAAAGATATACTAAAGAGGTTTCTTTTCACGGGTAAGCAGCTTCATGTCATTCGTTGCTATTAGCAAAGAATGATTTCTTGCTACTTACCCATGCATCTTAGCAAGGCTAACATCCTATGTAAAACTTTGAATATAAATAGTGTTATATTTTACTATACCTATTAAATAATACTGTTGTCGTTAGTTTTCTGAAAGATCTGAAATTGTGGAGAAAATAAATATAAGTTATGTAGAAGGATGGTTTTACTCCTAGTAAACAGTCTAAACTTTGTGGTAAGCATTTCACTAGTCACTGCTATGAAGGAAGTCCTTGGAGTTTACAAAAAAAACTAAAAAATGATGCAATTCCTTCTATATTTGAATTTCCAAAACGTCTAAGAAAAAGCACTTATTTTAGAAAACCACCAAAATACAGACAAAGTATTAATTCAAATAATATCACTATTGATTCAATACAGTGAACTTAATGTAGCTAATCCTTTTGCAATGGCTTATATTTTATATTGATTTAAAGTTTTAAGGTTTATTTTTTTTTTACATATAATATATATATATATATATATATATATATATATATATATATATATATATATATATACATATATATATATATATATATATATATATATATATATATATATATATATATATATATATATATATATATACATATTTTTAGGAACAATACCGATGACATTTAAACCATTAATGTTAACAACAATGTCACCAATGATTCATTACAGTTAGTCTAATATATCTACTATACAATAGCATACATAACAGTTACTTTTAAACTTGCATATATTAATATAAATGTTTGATATACACTTATATATTTTTAAGAACAATAATGTTTAAAATTTGAAATCAATCATAATAACAATGATAAATGGTATATTGATGACAGTGATGAAAATGATATGGCAACACTATAAAATAGGAAACAGTCTTTAAAATTAACTTTTAAATAATCTTGGTGCTAAAGAAAAGACAATTAAAATGCTTCAGCAACTCAAGCGTTGTCTAATAAATAGGATTAAAGACTTACATTCATTCCTTCATTATCATTAATCAAAAACTATAATTTTTTAAAGAAATAACATGTACACTAATGGAAAGAAATATATTCTTATTAAGATTTGTTGTGAAAGATATTATATTTGTAACTTTTTTATTATGTTTTTTTATTTTATTATTTTAAATATTTGTAGCTTATTTAAGTTATACCTTTGGGATTATTTTATTTCAGTCAACCTACTGTTGACATATGATTTTAATTTAGTAACTTTTGATAAATAAAAATTTACTACATTAATCATAAGATAACATATAGGGAATAACTTAGTTCATTAGAATTTCGATAGGAATAGCGATTTAACTCACCCGCTATTCCTATTGTTGTATCCATTGTTGTAATTGCCGTAATAGTAATAATTGTTGTTATGATTGTGATGCTATTGCGATAACTTGTTGTATGACTCTTCTTTTAATTGTAACTATTTATATAAGTCTGTGTGTTTGGGTTGTTGTGTATCAAATACAAAAAGTTTGTTTCGCTTTGTACAATGCTATCATCTATTTCTTGATACCTTAATCAATAATGCCAAATTTACTTGACTGGGTATATATGATATTGCAGCGAATAATATTTTAATTTATTTAATCTATCTAATTAAAGTGAACTCTGTCTGAGTTTACAAAACAGTAACTTTGTAGGATTTTACAAGAAAAATTTAAAAAGTATTACCCATGCAGAATTAAGAAGTTTTGCTTCAACATTACATTTTTATTCCACTAAAGCATATAATTATTTTATGAAAAGCGTTTAATAATGCATTTTCTCATCCCCAAACCATATAAAAATAGTATGAAAGTGTTGACTATTTCCCTGGATTTAGTAAAGAGTCTTTAGTAACTCTTCATAGCAAAGTAAAAATAGCTCAGGAATTTGGTCAACGTGATGTGT